GAGCAATACAGACCTTCAGATGGATTTTACCAAAGCAAGGACTCTGCGTCACCACTGATGTTGCAATTTCCCATGATCGTATGGCAGCAGCAGCGATCATCCGGTAGAGAAACGGAAATTTCATTGGAGCATGGACAAAAATTTCGCAGGGTGAAACAGACCCAGAAGAAGGTGAGGTAAAGGCAGCAGCGCTAGGAGTCAAACGCAGCAAATTTCTTGGTCAACCTATTAATCTCTACATGGACTCAAAGAATGGGGTGAGAAAAATTAAAGAATCATCCAACTCCTCCCACAAAGAAATCATGGAAACAATACAGAAATCAGGGGGGAAAATAAGTCACATTTATCGAGAAGCAAACACTGCGGCACACAACCTAGCAAAGTTTACACTTAATAACGATTTCAGCACTTATTATTCTCAATTAGAGCATCTACCCAAAAATGTCAGGGGGGCTCTAATCATTGATGTATCTTCGATTTTCTTCCGTATTAAATAATGATAAAATTTTCATTTTCAAAATATATATATATATATATATATATATATATATATATATATATATATATATATATTTTGCCTGAAAATTCACCCGAGGGTGTGGCAGTGCCCAAGGAAGCTCTGCCTTATTTATAAATAAAATAAAACAAAGGAGAGGGGCGGGCTGAACCCCAACAAAGGCCCGAGTAAATCCAAAAGTAACCTACAATACACCTCAATTCTAAGACCAAACATAACCAAGCTCTAAACAACATAAGTTCACCAACTGAAATTCAGATAAAAAAGGAAACAAGGAATAGCAAAATCATATCTTCTTTTTTCCGCTATTGTTTTTGTTATACTTCTTCTTATTCTTCTTTCCCTTCACACCTCCTTTACGATTGAAGTCGTCCAAAATATGAATAGCATTAAGCTCCATTTCAGCATCTAGAGTGTAAGAGTTTTCATCGTCTACAAGCATCTCAATTTTGTCAGGTACAATTTTAGAAACCTCATCTCCACCGTCCTTTTGCATCTTATGTTCTTCTCCTTTCATCCCTAGAGGCATATCAATGAGACTGATTTGCGAGGAGCATTCATAAATTAACTTCAAGTCTAAGAGGCCCAAGGGTTTGGTGGAAACCGCATTTGTTTGAACTGCCTCCTTGTTGACTGCCAATGCTTTCAATTCCTTAAGAGACTTACCTTGCTGGAGACCTCCACTGTTAACTTTAGGCTCTGATTCCATCTCTTTCAGTTCCTTGAGAGAATTGCCTAGTTGGGGATGCTTCTGAACTGGAATCGAAGGCAGGAAAGGTAGTGCATGAATGTTGAAAGCTCTAGAAGTGTTGTGCAGTTGAGGCAACTGAATTGTGTTGGCATAATTGAGGCGGCTTTGAGCAGAACTATGTATGCTTTCATTTGGGCAAACAACATTAAGACCCAGTTTACTCGCATCAAAAGGGGCAGAAACTGCCTGCTTAGAAGGAGCTGGAGTTGCAGTAAGTAGGGATTTTTCCAAAGCATCTTCATCAATTGGTTGAGTAGCATTAATACCACTTGTAAAAAGCTCTAAATTTGGAGAAGACTGAGTTGAAATCAAGACAAAAGACCCATCCTTGGCAGCTAAAGATGAAACTGGTTTAATGGTTGTCCCTCCAATATCAGATTCAAACAGAGATTTTGAAATGGATGTGTCGATAGAATGAGGTTGCTCTTCACCTAAAGATTTGCCCTTACAATTCTCAAGAACATGACATGCCTTGTTAAGGTGGGCCAAGAATAATCTAAAACCATGCCTGCAAATATCCTCAGGTACAAAAATGGTAGTATAACCAAACATGTGTTGCTCTACAATTTTAACAAAAAAACCAGATGCATTTGAATCTAGAGAGAATCGGAAAGTTCTACTACCCTCCCTAAGGCTCTGATTCCAACTGGTGACCACCGGATTAAGAAGTATATATTCAAAGCAGGAACATAACCAGCGAACAATTCTAAGATTAGTCCAGAAACGGAAGGTTTTCCATCGTCTTCCCTCAGAAATTTGACACAGATTATTATAGGCTGAAAATCTGAACTCAAACCTTTTCGATTGGATTCCAAAGGTGAAATCGACGATTGTGCAGCTCGAACTTCCATCTCTATCCTCCTTTCGTTTATGGTAATCTCCTCCTCGAGTATTCCTCACAAAGGTTGGTCTACCTTGTATTCTTCCTTCCCCGGCGACCTTGAAGTTGGATGTGAAGCCCCATCGACGGTGGTGAGATCTAAACCTAGCGGCGGCGCTCTCTCTCTCTCTATGTCTAAACCCATCTCCCATTTTCAATATATATATATATATATATATATATATATATATATATATATATATATATATATATATATATATATATATATATATATATAGGATTACAAAAAAAAAATTGATGCCATTGAGCGTAAGTTGAAGTGAGTTTGTAAGATTTGTGATAAAAAGTATGGATCGGAGTAAGTTATAAAATTATTTCAATACTTTGCTAAGTAATTTATTGTGTTAAATAATACTCTATTTGTCTTGTTTTAAGTTACATATTTTCTATTTACTTGGTTTCAAAACTGCTAAGGGTATACAAAAAGTGTACCCAATTTGTACAACAACGGGCTCTGGCACACACTTTTTTATGTATTGATATGAAGAGAGGAGTGAATGTATAGTGAGGAGCCTGGTGGTATATAATAAATGGGGTAAATTTTTGGTGTACTCCTAGCATTAGTCTAAACTTTAATCACTTTCTAGATTCATTTAATAAAATAATACTCCATCGATCCGTCTTTAAAAGATTTATATTGTTAACAACTCTGGTCTCTCGATAAATTTGGTTTACTTGTGTGTTTCTGAATAAAATAAATTTAAAAGACACGAGATTTTGTACGTCAATTGGATATAATGCGTAATTCTTTTGGAGACCATGTCACCAATTAGTTTCCAAAACGTTAAAATTGGTTTTTAAAAATAGAATATATAAACTTTATTTTTAAAATTTCATCCAATTTTTAAATAAAATAATTTAAAATTAACTTTATAAAAAATAATAGTTAAATACAACAACATGCAAATTGAAATAGAACCAAAAGAATTTAAGATATGCTTCTTTAATTTGGTTCTCCTAAGATTTACAAAATTTTTGTGGACACTCTCACATAAAAATTAATTAATTTTTAAATAAAAATATTTATTAAAACATCAAACAAATGCTTATTGGCCTCATCTATAGCTTAACGGTAGATCTTAGGTTATGGTAAAATTTGCCTTAAGATGCATCGTGAACCTTAGGTTGTTGTTGTTGTTACCCTACCCTGCAGAAACAAATTAAATGGACAAATATTGTTGGGGTGTCATTGTTTGAGGTTATGTTTATTACCCCGTAGTATTTGTTTATTGGGAATTGGGCCTCATATTAGATCACCCATATATATTAACACGAGTTATTTGATAAATGTCATATTCTATACCAAAAACGTTGTTTAGGAAAAGATAGTTGACAGCTAATGGAAGCTTAAAAATATAATTAGGCACCAAAATCACGTGTCTTAAATATTGATTCCCGAAAATCTTATCCCAAATCTAATACAGTAAAATTATCCACGTCCTTTTTAACCCGCACATTTTTATCTCATACATAGTTTATTTTTTTAAGTAAAATATCATATTCATTTTTTCTATTTTCATTACTCATTTGATAAAATAACATAATCATGTATGTCACTAAAATTTTTTAGTTAAATTAGTTCCTTGATATAGTATCAAAAGCTTTGTTGACAACACGTTCAAACATGGCCGCCAATAAGTTTTTAAAAAATAATTTTCACGTGCAACACACGAACAAAGAAATGTGTGATAGAGTAAAATACTTTTTCTGGACCTACAATCACAATTTGAGCTTTTGATTGAAATAATTTTAGTGTATAACTCAAACAATCATTCAAAAATAATAGTTGAAAATCCCAATAATTAAAAAATAATGCGTATAGTTTACATAATATTTCAAAACTTAATTTAATTATCACATTTTAAATGTTTCAATTTCACTTTTGTAACACTTCACAATTTCATTGCACATTTCACAGCAATATCACTTTTACTAGAGGAAAATTTTATTTGGACATGGGGCTTGCTTTTAAGTATATAATAAATAAATTTGTGCCTCCACTAGTGGTCCGTGACACGTAAAAAAATATCGTGCAGCAAAAAATATTATGCAGAGGAGGATCATTTTTTTATTGGGTTAAATTCCACTATTATGTCTAATTTTTTTAATAATAATAAGTCACTCTTTATTTTATTAGTTTAATTTTTTTAAAAATATTCGTTCTGTCCTAAAGTGTCAAATTTTGACTTTTCATAAAAACCAAGTGAGTATTAAATTTTTTCAATACAATTTTAATTGAAGTCATACATGAAAATTAACCCTAATTGATTATTAAAGGCCAAAACTTTAGAAATACTTAAGTACCAAGGTTAATCTTTGATGTATAATTTCAATTTAAATTGTATTGGGAATAATAGTCTATTTTTATGATAAACCAAAAAATTCACGCACACTTTAGGATAGAGTAATATTGTTTAAAAATAGACCAATAAAAGTAGGAGTAACTTATCACTATTAAAAAATTTAGACTAATAAAAGTATGAATAATTTATTATTATTAAAAATGGACCTACATGAAATATAACTTCATTATATGAAAAAAGAGTGTTCCTCACATATATTTATAATGGAAAAATATGGATTAACAGTAAGTTAAAAAAAGACCAATTGTGCAACGTTATCTTGACTTGATGTATGTAGTAGTGCCAAATTGCCCTCAATATATATTACCGAGTAGTAAATAGGTAGACATTTTTGCCCAAACCAGTCCTTTAACCTCCATCTTGGATGGGAAAAAATTTTGATGACTAGGGAAAGAGTTATTCTTTACTTTTGAAAGAGGAAAAAAATCCAAAAAAAAAAAAACAAATTGATGACCAGATATGGTAGAAAATATCCAAAAATGGTACAGATTGCTTTTAAAAATTGGTACAAAATGAAGCCTTTATCTTATTTACCAAACAAAGTCTTAAATGTATAATGTGTGAACCTACCCTTCACCCTCAGCTAGAGGGGTAGCAGAGGCTATCAAATTGTTGCATGTTTTCCCAAAAGTTTACCCCATGCTTGTGTGAATAACATGTAATCAATTGACATTGAGTTTTCATAAAGAATGAAGCAGTACAAATTTTGATTTGAACATTGAGTTTTCATAAAGAAAGCATGAAGAAGATGATACAAAGCCCTTTACACCATACAATTATAAAGACCCTTTCCCTAATCTATCGTAAACGCTAATCGTAATTAAGAAACAAAAAAAATTACATTTGAAGCAAAGTATGAGCCAGCTGTGGTTGAATTGGACGAATTCTTGTAGAACACAAGCAGCATCCATGCCATAGTACACCACCACCGCCACCGCCACCGCCACTGCCAGTAGTAGTAGTAGCAAAATTGGAAATTGTGTTAATGAATTGTCAATAGGTACCTTCTGGCTGAAGGGGGGAAAAGAGAGCTCGGGGCCTTGGTCTTATCAATCTGAAAAACGCAGGCTCAAACTCACTTTGTTGCTTCAACACAAAGAAATGCTCTCTGACAGCTTCTTCTTCTTCTTCATCATCTGCCACTGCTGGTGGGGTTTCAAGCGTTCTCTTGATGAGTTGCGCAAGAAGGCGCGTTTTCTTCTTCGGGCAGATCAGTATCCATTTTATCTGTAGTGGGAAGGGATTTTGCAGGCGGAGCATTATTATTGTTAGTTTCAGACAAATCATACTCTGATAGAAGTTCCATAAACTCGTGTAGCAACCGCTGCACTTTCCGGTTAGATGCCATAGCTGGGAGTATATCTTCTCTCAAGAGCTTGTGCTTTTTCATACCCTGTACCACCAATCCCATTTCAGTTCTCTTTGATAGGAAACAACCCGTTTGTAATCCGGGTGGGGTAGAACTGTAAAAGTACTGATATTTGTTTTGATAAACCTAAGGGTCGGGGTGCAGTTGAAAGATTTACACTGTTTGATTCAAGGAATTAAGAGGGAAGATAAAAGGAAATTGTTTTCTCTCGTTTTCCTCACCAAAATGAGAGGAACTTTGTTTTCCTTTCACTTTTCTTTTCTTTTCTCTAACCAATCAAGAAAATTTGTTTACCATGTCATTTTCTTTTCTTTTCCCCCTCAAATTCCATGAACCAAACATAGTGAGTGTTGCATAAATAAATTACTCACTCCCCCTCACAAAAGGTTTCTTAGTTTTCTTTTACATCCATCCTAAAATAACTTTCCCACTTTTCCTCTTTCATATTTTTGTAAAAGATATATGGTCCAAAATACTACTCTCTTCTAAACAAATTATAACCACCCACTTTTCACATTTTTAAAACTCTTCCTTAATCTGCGAGAAGTCATAGTGAGAAATGTTTCTTGGGATGAAATGAGTATGAAAAAAGATATCATTAATAGACAATTAAGAAAAGTACTAAAAATAATGTTGAGTTAAAACATAAAAACTAAAATTATATTGAAAATTCTTACAAGGACACTGGACTCCCATGCAGGTTTCTCTGAACTGCAAGACAATGCCTCGACCATTCCAGTTGGAGGCCCGAGAAAGCTCTCGCAAACTTCTCGCAATCTAGATAAATCTGCCTCTCTGGTATCATTATTTACAATTTTATACCCAAGCAAGAAAGGAGGGAGAAATTAGTCATTCAGCTTATTATCAATTGCAGACAATTAAATATGAAGGTACAGGTGTCAACAGACCTTGCCAGGAAGCGAATATAAGAGAGAAGGCATTGGCGATATTCCTTTGGGGATTCCATAGCAAGAGCAGAAGCCAGCTGAGTCTCCAAATGAGCTCTTGTCTGTGTTCCATCATCAGTCAATCTTGCACAACCATACCAAACATCAAATGGACTAAAGTAGTATGCAGTAATATTCTTATAAAAATATCAACAGTAGGCACAATAAAAGACACTTGCTGACCAAGGGTCTGTTTGACTGTCGAAAAATAAGTCCATTGAACATGTCAAACAATCGAGGAAAATCTTGGATATATATTCCAGAAAAATATTTTCCGTTCAAGGTGTTTTCCTAGAAAATTAGTAGTTTTAAGTATAATGCAATCAATGCTTGACCCACAAAAGCAAAACAATACAAGAATCATGAAAATGGCTTCCTTTTATCATGGAAACCATTTTCCACGAAAAAAATTACTAGAAACAGAGCCAAAGGGTTCTAAGAATCAAAGAAAATACTAACACCGAAAAATTCAAAAAACATTTTCGGTGACAACATTTCCCTAGAAACACATGGAGGCATGGAGCCTACGAATTCTGATTCTTAAGGTAATACACTTGTGCCATATGGGTGGTAGAATAGATGCATACTGAATTACTCATAAATTATATTCTTATTATTTCCAACCGAAAATAATACTCCGTAATAATAATAATAATATAACAACAATAATAATAATAACAATAATGCTAATGACGATGATGATGATGATGATGATCATAATAATAATAATAATAATAATGATGATGATAATGATAACAAAAACGAAAATAACAACAACAACAACGAAAATAATAATAATAATAATTAAAATAACAACAATAAAAATAATAATAACAAAAGTAAAGTGAGACCTGCTCCAACCCGGTTTCCTGGCCAAGAACTTCCTGACATCTACTTGCAAATTAGCCAGCTCGCCTCCGTGAAAAGAGCCCAAATTCCAGGAGCTTGCAAAATTTGAAGCGGGAAAACAATCATCTGCGACTCTCAACCAGCACATGAGGCTCATATCAAAGAGATATGCATGCCGTGTCGCCAAAACAGCAAGTGGAGACCCTGATTTTGAAATCTTCACTGATATCACTTTGATTTGACCTGAAATCAGACCAAGGAACAAAGCACAATATATGGAAAGTAATAAATAAGCCATCCATGAATGGTAGCTATATACGAAACAGAGAATGAAACAATAACAGGTGCACTCGAACTCACTTGCATTTGACTTTGATGATGAATCTGAGGCCACCGCTAAAGAAGCCATTGAATCATTTAGGAGACACTTTCTATTGAACAAATCCCACAGATACAATGATCCCTTTCTTGTGACGAGTAACAACTTCCAAGACTCATCACAATCAATAAATACTGCACCAGAACCCAGCATCATTGTTGGCATTGCACGTCTCCCACATTTGGTGTATATCTTCACGCCCAAAAAAGTTATTAAGGAAGCATAAAAATGTACAAGGAAACTTTTGGTTTTTATTTAAATTTAAATTAAATAAGAAGTGAAAACTCACCTGAAGAGAGCCATCATCACAACCAACAGCCCAAAAGTTGGGATTTCCAGCCAAGACAGTAACTTGTCCAGAAATCTTATCGGACCAGAAAACTTCTGTTCCCTTTGTGCAAGTTAGTTCAGTATCTTTCATCACAAACGTATTTCCTACCCCTAGAACATCATTTATAGTATGTTCATTGGGGTGAGCCTCCAAGCAAAACGGAATAACATCTTCCCCCTCTTTCTTATCGAAAACCCTAACCGATAGAGTACCACTAGCAGCCAACGAACTTGTGTCCTTGGCAGCCCCCATCTGTTCAATTAAGCAAGCACTGCTATCTTTACCTGCAGAAACTGGAACCTTTTCAATGACTAGACTCTCACTCACAGTAGCTCTAGCAGTTACGCCTGATCGCTCCTTTAAGCCGCCATTCCCACCCACTGTTTTTCTTGTGAACCCTTCTCTGACACCAATCTCATCATGAATTACTCTATCATCATCCCTCCCATCACCTAAAGAATTGTTTGGGAACTCGATGGAACCACTCATGTTCTGTTGTTGTATAGGCACCCCAACTGCTTCTGGGATTATTCTCTTTCTGCCATCTGGCTGTCTATAAACTCTTTGTTTCACTGAACTTGTCAAGTGAGTAGTGGATGAAGCTACTTTATTTAGCCCCTCACCATTAACTGCCTCAATTTTCTTACCACTATTATCAACTTGAGCTTTGGGACAATCCTTCACTGCTGCAATAACTGAATCTTTTGCTGACACTTGGTTTGGTGAAACATTATCCAATGTTTTTTGGTTGGGTGTTTGCTTTACAGATGCTGCTTCAAGCAACAATTGAGCAGGACTTTCTGCTAAGTTTGCATGTCGACCTCTGACATCACCATATCGACTTTTTTTTAACTCTTCAAGTTCAGCATCAGATAACCGATTGCCAAGTTCATTTGCATCAAAGAAAAATGTGGCTACAGATCCGTCCAAAGAACATGCAAACAAGGAGTATCCATCAGGGCTCCTGCATCCAGCAATTAAATTTTCAGGAAATAAAACAAAAAAACAAAATCACAGTGACTATATTAATGTAGCCAAGGACATTGTACATGTTTAGCAGGCATTTTTTCCAGCTATTCGGCCTTATCTGGCAGATCTTTAACCTTAAACTAACTTCTTTCACAAAGCCAACTGATTATGTGAAAGTGGTGCAAAAATAAGTTTCATGCTGAAATAGTTGAAATGAAAGAAAACGACACTTAGACTTTCATTTTAGATATCACTTTCTATACACTCCCTCCATCCCAAAATTATCTTCCGGGTTGCTTTTTCTTGGTCAAAATTCTCAAAATTTGACCATAAATATGGAAAAAAATATTGAGCCATGATACAAATGCAATATCAATAGATTCTTTTTGAAATAAAGTTTTAAAATATCATATTTTTGTAATATTAAATTATGAATAAATAGTGATATCAATGGTCAAAGTTGTGCATTGGAGACTGTGAAAAAGAAAAGAGGAAGAAAATTATGGGACGGATGGAGTATATTTTAAATAATTCAGTAAAAACGATCAGCTTAGCGATTACAGCAACAATTTCAGGAGATGAAGGAGATTCATTCATCTTAGACCTTACCAGACAGGTGCTATTATAACAATCGTGAGTAAGCTTACCAAGATAAATCCACAACACTTTGAGAAAAGAAATGTTTAGCAACAAAAAGAGGGCGAGGGCTGGCTGTGGTCCACACAGTTATAGTGCGGTCCTGACTTCCAATGGCGATAACATTGTACGGTTGTGCTTTTTTCCCTCCTGACTTTAATGAACCATTTGACCACCCAAGAGGTGCAGTTTTCATTTCCGGAGCATTGGAGGTGCTATTTCGAAACATTGAGTGGTTGAACTTCACCACGATAACTGGAGCATTGTGTCCTAAGAAGTCAAAAGTGGCAGACCATTCACCTCTTTCAAGAACAGGAGCAGAATGCCTAGGCTTTTGAAAGCCATGAGTTGTGGTTATAAAATGGCCACAAGGGGACCACCCAAGCCGCCTAAAGAAGGTGGAACCCAGCTGGAAAAAAGAAACCCTTTAATCAGGAAAAGTTTTGACACGGAAGATCAAATGGAATTGATGTTGTTATTGTGAATACAAAAAGAAGTATAGCATTACTACCTCCGTCCAACAACAAGTTATGTTTAACCAAGGTACAACTTTTAATATTTTAGTAAAGGGACAACTACGAGAAATCATCAAGTCTAACTATATTTAAGTTCGTTTACCTAAATCTAACAAACTTATATCTTTGGGACTTAAAAAGCTAAAATATGATTAAATTAGATTCCTTTGTCCAAACAGGATTCTTATTGGGGCATTTGGAGTAACAAATAAAAGAACTTACAGATTTTGCCCAGTGACCTTCAGTTTTATGAGCAAGGCTCCAGTCAGTAGTTCGCCATATAACGACAGTCTTATCATCTGACTGACTAGCAATGAAAGAACCAATGGGATCCCATGCAACACCTTTAACAAGACTAGAATGACCCCGAAGAACAGCAGTACAAATTCCATTAGACATGCTCCATATATGAATTGTGTTGTCTAGGCTTGCACTGGCCAATGTAGAGTCATCTGGAGACCAACTAAGATCCACCTACTTCAAACATGGAACAACAAATCAAACTCCTTTGGTTAGATCATATGGGGTAAACACTGGCTCATTTTAGCAAAATTTATAGCACAACCACTGGAAAACAAGCAGAATCTTTTTCCTTTTATATTGCAGAAGTACAAAAAGATATTTCCAACATCCAGAGAGAGAGAGAGAGAGACTTATTTCGAAAATATATAAATGAAATTTATTTTCATGTAATTTGCACACAAAAAAAGTCACAAACAAGCAACATATGAAAACTTTAGTCAACCCAACAAAAGAACTAGGGAATATAATCAGTAATTTGTATATGTCAGGTAAAACGCATGGTTGTCAAGTCGACAAGTCGAGTCGGTGACGGGGAGACTAGTGGACTAGGCGACTAGTCGTAGACTAGTCGACAAATCATAATTAGTATTGAAATTTTTAACATTATATATATCTACATTAACCCAACAAGAATATATATATTTATATGTCAAAATACCATAACCAAATCAAATTTATGTTTAAAGATAGCACATAAAGTCACTTAACAAAGAGTACATAACAAGCAAATATCCTTCAATCTTAAAAAATAACACACCAAGAAAGATAATTAACACAATAAGAAGTCAAAGGACATNTAGAACGCTTAAAATATTAAAATAAGAAATACAAAACCAAAATATCAATTAAATTCAGAAAAAAATTGAAAAATTAAACTGAAAATAAAATTGAAATACTTTATTGAAAAATTAAACTGAAAAAACTGAAATATTAAAAAAATAAAAATAACTGAAACTTTAAAGTATATCATACTTTATTGTTTAATGAATCAAATCAATGAAAATTAAATTTTAATTTTTCAGTTTAAGATTTCTTTTATTTTTTTTCTTATTCTAGTTTTCTAGTACAAAACCAAAAAATTGAAATATTAAACTGAAAAAAAAACCTGAAATACTAAAATACTAGAATACGAAAAAAATTAAAAGAAATACTTTAATGATAACAAACTATAAGAAAACTTACCCATGAGGAGAGTCGCTGGAAGATAATCGACAATGGTTGATAGTCGCTGCCTCGCTGGTGGCCTGGAAGTCGCGGTCTCGCGGAAGTAACGCCGGAACTGGAAGACGAGCGCGAATGGATTGTGTGTGGATTGCGTGGCAGGAGGCAGCCGAAGGAGCGTTTTGTTAAAAAAAAATTTAAAATTAATGAAATTTGGGTCGGGTCGGGTCGGGTCGGGTTGGGTCGGGTCAATTAAAGTAGGTCAAATTCTGCGGTTTTCTTTCTCCGATTAAGCGTGGCCTAGTCGCGGCTAAGCGTTGCCTAGTGCGCTTAGTAGCCTAGTCGGCCATAGGCGCTGGTCGCACAGCATTTCTCCTTCTCCAAAACGACCGGACGACTAGTCGCCGACTAGTCGACGCCTAGGCGACGACTTGACAACACTGGTAAAACGACACTGCTTTATGAGAAGATCATTACCACATCAGCAGTATGTCCTCTTAATGTCATGGTGACTTTCCAATTCTCAACATCAGGTGGCTCTCCACTACCGAATTCTGTGGTTCCTGAACCAGGTTTCCTCTCATGTATGAGGATAACCTGATCATCAGACCCTGAAGCGACATACCTTCCATGCTTAGCCCACCTAACACAGTTCACTGACCCGAAATGGTCACGCAAAGTGGCAAGAATTTTTGGGATGGTTTCATCTGCCTCCAGATCCCTCCCAGCACATTTCATGTTCCAAATGCGAACCTGCAAAAGATTTACATAAGCCTTTGATAGCAATAAATTGATGCAAAAATAAAACCTTATAATTTTAATTTCTATTAACAGAGAGTCAGAGATTTGATGGCATTCTCATAGGAATTCAACAGTATGTTCACATCACTTGGTCAACAATGCTCTTTTTAAGAAATTATGCACTTATATGTATATTCATTGTGCATTATCTCAAATGTAAGTAGCGACAGAAAAGTTCCAATTCAATAATGAAAAAGCAGGTACCTTATGATCACCACCACCAGTGGCAAACCTGAGACTGCCAGGCTGAATATCAATAGAGAAAATTTGCATGCCCTCATGGCTAATCCAGCTGGGTTTCTCCGCAATCATCTTTAGTTTCCTGTTCCCTGAGCGAGACAAGAACAGGGTATAAACAAAACTTAAAACAATAAAGGAACACATTTTTTGCTAAAACCTTGAAAACCCTACCTCTACAGCTTCCAAGTTCATGCCTTTTCAACCCCCAATAAAAACTTCTAGACGTTTTCACTTTTAAAAAATTGGTTGCTATTATTAGTTGGAAAAAGCCCAGAATTTACAACTCAAAAAGGGTGTTGATTTTCTTAGAGAAAGAACCACAATTGGGTTAATTTGGAAGAACCCAAGAAATCAGCAAGCATTGTGGAGACTAGGTATTCCTGATTCTTATAATAATTAAAGGAAAGCTTCATTGGCATGTATGGTTGTGAGTTTATGGCGGCCGGGGATGGGTTGGAGTGGAAGACTGAAAAGGAGAAGCGGTTTGAATCAAAATTACATGTGACTCTTATGCAGTCAAAAGATTAGATCTAATAATGGAGGAAATTTAAAAGTAATTTTAAAAGTTGGATAGATAAAAGAATTACAAAATAATCAAAAAGAGAAATTGGTGTAATAGCCTAAGTACTTATGCAGAGTAACCACTCATTCAGCTTTCTTTGAAGAAAGAGCACAATGCAATGAAGGGGCAACAGAGAAGTTGTGTTTAGGGAAACTTTGACAGAGACAAATGGGGCAGGGTGAGATTGATTTTTTGAACCCATAAGTACACTTGAAAGTTAGAAAAAATTCTAGTACCAAAAGAGGACTGTTGTGAACCACTTTTTGGAAGTGAGATATTTTTATGAGTGAATTCTATAATTGGTCCTTCAGGGACTATTTGTGGAAAAATTATTGTCATACTTGGCCTAAGAGACTATATGAAATAGTTTTCAAAAAATGAGGACCATTTATGTAATATATCTTATACTTGGGGAATATATATGGAATAGTGTTTGTAATTGAGGACTATTTGTGGAAATTATTCTATTTTATTTTATTTTCGTATGAAACTCTACTTACTGGGCCATCACTGCTAATTCTTACTCTCCCCTAATTGGTCCATGATTATTTGCAGTTTCTGATGTACACTTGATTATAGATTTGAAAAAGGAAAGGGGAGAATATCTTTTGGATTCATAACTATAGGAAGTTAACAAATTTCAAAACTAGTCCTTTAACAAAATTGACAATATTGACTATTTTTTTTCAAATACCAATAATTTGATTTAAAACCTTCACAAATTGCAAATTTTTACAAAAATCTTATTCAAATTAGAGGCCCAATTGAAATGTCAATTTTGTTCGACTTGATTTAAATAAAAATGCATTTTTAGTAATCAATGAAAAAATGAGACCACTAACATTTTCAAAAACGTATTTTGACCTATTTAAAAAATAACATGAATGCATTATCATCATCAATTCACTTGAACTCTAATTGGAATAGTATTTTGCCCTTAGTTTAACAATTTTTGGTGCTTTTCAGACTAAAATGAAGGGTGAGCACAATGAAGGGTGCTGATTGCTTTGGTATTAAGGGATATCTTTTTCTTGTCATCATCAGTGTACTCACTTCTCGGGTTTCACACAGTACTTTTGCCTACAAACTTACTCAGCACATGAGGTTCTTCCAAGGCAATTGACCATCGACCCTGATTGCTGGACTGTATAAACTTTTCATCTGCATTTTCCAACAAACATGATTTTTGTCATTGAAGAGAAGAGGTGGTACTTAGTGAGCTCATGGAATCAATATGTTATAAAAATTAGTAATTGAAACTTATCAGCAATATGCAAAAACAGGATCCCTAGATGTGGTAAAGCACATTAAAAGGGAATGGTTTAGGTTGCAGTTAAAAATGTCGTGCCTAAAATGTAAATTTTTAAAAGTCATGGAATAATGTAATGCGGAAAGTAAAATGATGAAAATCAAAAGACACCAGGACCTTAGAGTGGTTCGAACTCCCTACACCATTACCCAAAGGCTCCTTCCTTGGAATTTCTGAATCCACTAGATATGGTCCTCTCGAAACTTGACAGAGCACCAAATTACTTCCGGAAAACAATTGTTGATGATACGATTCAAGGACTTACGGGTTATCCGCATCCTTATACAACAATGACGTAGAGCAGGCTATCATATACCATTTACAAAGAGTATTTGGGTTTCCCCAACCTTTAAGTGAAAGTTTGAATGAGAAGAATAAGAGAACTTCCAACAACAATCTAATCCCAACTCTATTGGGGTCTTATGCAACCTTACCGCTGTAAAAAACACAAGGTGTTTTCATTAGCTAGATTCTTGATGCATTTAGCATTTGTGAACATGAAAACAAGATCATGTAGCACCCCAAGGTGAACACATATCTAAAGCTCTTCAACTGGCGTGTGGCTGATCTTCTGTTCAGGGGGATGACAAGGAGTTCAGCCTGCGACTGGGTTTGGGCTGGAGTGCTGGACCGTCTAAACTGGGAAGTTAGGGTTGGTTTGTTATATGTTTGACTAGCATCACAGGAGCCAGCACAGAGCTTCTTGGGCCTCAGAAGTCGGAACTTATATCACAAAGGATGGGCACAATGCCCTTGTAACACTAATGAATATACTAAATACAACATTCATCTGTGTAATTTTTATACAATTATGACATGTTTGGGAGATTTTAAATCCGGATTTGCCTCAAATTCAATGTCCGGGAATCTTTTAAAAAATTGGATTTGGATTTGAGGGTAGTTTCTCTAATTCATAACAAAGCCTAATCACAAATTCATATACCCACCCTTGTCATTTGAAATTCAAGAATTCAAATTTTGGAGTTGAAATGCAAGAATTAAAATGAAATTCTAGTTCCCAAACACTACGAACTGACGACCAACAGTAATGAATCTAGTAGTCTACCGTTGAATCTTTAAAAGAACAAATTGAAGGAAAAAAATAAAGAAAACAACAAATACTTTTTCAAGAAAACAAACGAATCAACAGATAGAAAAGGGGGAGGGGAGGGGATGACTCCTGAGGATGATGAAGAAGAAACCTGGTGAGTTATGGAGAGCTGGTGAGTCTTCGCACACAAGAACTGGGGAGGGTGCGGGGCTGAGACTTCGAACGACCCAAGCCCTTCGCTAGAACTAGAGGCGGAGGCGAGCGAGTGAGACAGAGTTCAGAACTAGGGTGTGCAACAGGTTCGGGACTATAGGGGTTTTAGCCTTTAGGTTGGAATTTACTGAGTAATCCATGAGAATGCCCGCCCCGAACCGCATGGTGAGTTGACAAAAAAACCCAGCCAAACTGAGTTCATAAAAAAATACCCGAGTACAGAGTACTCTCTACTTCCGCAAAGAAAGTACACAAATGTAATTGGAGGAGCATGCTACATTTACTCTTTAGAGGCTGTTTGGCAACTTCTGAATAAGTAAGTGCTGAACCAGTAAGAGGTCTGAACCATTAAGTGCTGAACTAGTAAGAGGTCTGAACCATTAAGAGCTAGTATATTGCTTAACTATTCAGAGGCAAATGTCTGATCAATTCAGATAAGAGCTCTTAACCATTCAGACTTTGTATAATACTTAACCATTCAGAGGCAAATATCTTTACCATTCAGACATCTGAACCATTAAGAGGCTGAAACAAACAGTCTGAACCATTAAGTGTTGAACCATTCAGACATCTCAACCATTAAGAGGCTGAAACAAACAGCCCCTTAGTCTCTATATATCAAATATTACTAATTTAGTCACCAATTATTATATTCATTTCCACGAATGGTCCTTTGTTAACATTTCAATTAAGAACGTGGATAAAATTGTAAATTCATACTCCTTAAGCTTCCTCCCTCCTCTCGCACTCCTTTCCCAAATTCGTTGCTGAGTTTGAAGCTTTGAACCCAAAATTGAAATCACCACTCTTCTCTCAATTGTTTGTCTAACTAGTGAACCCAAATTCGAAACCAGTAACCTTCATGGATGAGTTTTAATGTTTGTTTTCTTTGCAATTTCTTGAGACTAACTGATAAAACTCATCCATAAAGCTTATTGATTTTGATTTTAAGTTCCACCAGGAAGACTAATAATTGAGAGAGGAATGATCATTTTAGTTTTGGGTTTGGAGCCTCAAAATCAGCGACGAGTTTGGGAAAGAGTACAAGAGGAGGGAAGATGTTTAATTGACGAGAGAGAGAGAGAAGTCTGAATATACACCATGTTCTTAACAAAAACGTTAACAAAGGACCATTCGTGAAAAATGATATAATAATTGGGGACTAAATTAGTAATATTTGACATGTATGGACTAAATATGTAAAACGTCCTATAACTGGGAACCTTTTATGGAATTTACTCCAAAAAATTTGTGCCTCATTTGTACATAGTATTGGTGCGTTAACAAAAATTAACATTACACCAACACAAAATGTTGATGCATCCCTGCGGTGCACAAAATGGGGTATAAATTTTTGGGATACAAATAGCTTTATCGAGTTTAATTTCATGATATTCAAAAGGGGTTTGCTACCGGTATCCCAATATACACTTTTCTCAAAGACACTCACTGTATGAGACTTTTGGGTACACCACCTCATTGCATTTAAGTTTTTTTTAAACAAATAATATTGAAAATTAAATAATGTTATCTTCATTTCATAATAGTTGCTCAATTTGACCTTTTCCAATTAAATTTGGTAAATGTTCGTTATCAATTAAATAAAATTTGTATTATACTCCCTCCATCCCTTAAAGTCTAGGGAAATTTAATTAAATAGTACTAAAACATAGTGACTTTCTAAATATAGTATTATACGTTTTTATTTCCTAATATAGTATTAATGATCAGTGTACACTGGTCATTGTTTAAGTAATGTCTATTGTCACTGGACATTATTCAAACTAAATGTTCACCATCATTGCAAAATACAAAGCTCACCCACAGGTATTGCAAAGCTCATCAAGCTATATGGTAAGGCTCACCATGTTTTTTTAACACTTTATTTTTTTCAAAAAAAAAAATCAAAGGAGTAGACTTGACCCATGTTGACTGGAATTTGACCGCTAATGGCCGCTGTCAGTCGCCGCCACCACCTGTCGCCGGTTACCAACGCCGCCACCGGCCAATGGTGGTCCAACTCACCTTTTGATTTTTTAAAAAAAAATTCAACCTAAAAATTTGGTGAGTTCTATGTGTATGGTTTTGTGAACTTTGTAGTGAGGATTGGTGAGCTTTGTTTCTAGGGTTGTGAACATTAAAAACTTCAAAGTTTTAAAAATTCAAATTGTGAAAAGATTTCTCCCATTTTGTTTTGTGTCATTCCCTCAGTCACCTACTTAGTGTGAAGATTTCTCCATAGAACTTTAACCAGAGGGGATGGCTTGTTCTTTAGTACCAATGAGAGAGCTCCACTTGTTCTTTGATTAACTTAACATTTTATTAATGTCTCATACTAGATCAGGTTCAATGGGTTTGTTTTCACTACGAAGTTCAGTCCAACATAAATGCTTTTGACTTTTCCTTCCATATAATGCTTTGTAAGGAGTGTTTTGAATACTCGTCTGATAGCTATTATTGTAGGCAAATTCCATTAGAGTCTGTTTAGGTTCTCTTCTCAGATTTGGTGTCTTAGGTTCCTTCGCTAAAAAAATAATTTAAGTTACTTTGAATTATTAATCAGAACTCTATTTTTGTATATTAGAATTCTTACAAGTGATATATATAATCTGTAATCATTACTTCGCTAGTAATTGCAAAATTTTGGACAATTAGATAAAAATATAAATAATGTTAAATAAGTAATTTATATTGCAAAATTAACACTGTTAATCTCAAGTCATTTTTATAATTATTTTGATATATAAAATGTGATATAAGATTATTTGGTTTGGTTGAGACATCGTTGTTTTATTCAAGTCCAATTTTTCATCCAACTAGAATACTAAAAAGCATTACTTCATTTATCTTTTTATTTTTGGAACATGGATTAAAGACGAACAATTATAAAAATGAAAAATTATATGATTTATATTAATATTAAATGAACAATATTTATTTTTGGAAAAATGAAAAATTATATGATTTATATTAATATTAAAAAGTATAAAAAAGTGCAAGTCACAAAAAAATTACGAATAGGATTTGGGATAAAATATATTGGTATAAAAAGTAGAGTAATTTTTTTAAAAATAAACTATGAAATTTATAAAATAAAATAATTTTTTTAGCATTTTTTGTTTTTGGAACTCTTTCAATATTTTTCCAACCTTTTCAAGTTTCTTCAAACTTCTTTCAGTTTTTTTCAACTCCCAATTTTTTTGAAATCTTTCTAGTTTCTTCGAACTCCTTCCAGTTTTTTCCAACTCTTTCCAGTCTCTTACAAATCATTTAAGGTAAAATTTGCACTAAATAGTACTAAAACATGTCATTTCTTAATGTAGTACTTAAACTTTTTTATTTTCTAAATAGTACTTGAATAATATCTAGTGACGGGAACAATGTCCAGTGATGATTGACATTTAGTTTGAACAATGTCCAGTCGCGGTGGACATTTACTTAACAATGACCGGCAGACACTGACCAGTTGTAATACATTGGGAAATAAAAATATACGCTACTACATCGATTGGAAAAGTCATTATGTTTTAATACTTTTTAGATAAATTCCACTTCCTTCAAATTTCTTCCAACTCTTTCAGGTTTCTTCCAACGAACAAAGCCATAATCAAGGACAATGCTCAAGTAACAAAAGTCGAGAGATATTCAAATAGGAAGAGGATATTTGAGTCAGTAATAGATTCAAACTAATTTGAGTCAGTAATAGATCCCGTTATGGTGATGCATATTCAACAAATTAAAAAACTGTGAATACATTCAAACTAAAGAAAAAGCATGAGTTCAATTCAAGAAAAAGGAAGCGCAAGCTCAGTTTAAACCATAAAAAAAGAGTTGTTGATTTCAAAATCAAGTAACATATGATATGTGGAGTATATATATTAGTAATGGAGAGTAGCACAAGAGTTTTGGAGATTGGTTTGGACGTTTGGTCACAAAAGACTAACAACGCACTCTCCAAGAAGAGAATCTTTAAGCGAATGACGAATCAAAAGAATATATATATATATATATATGTGTGTGTGTGTGTGTATGTATAATCAATGAATAGGAACAAATTAAAAATAGAAAATTTATTATGATTTGATCGAGACTTTATCGAGTTATATTTTGCTGGCACTATAGAAAATGCTTTCAATTCAATAGTTGGCCATGAAAATCAGTCCTCTAGAGAGCTATCACCCATAGATGAAGATGGAGATCCAAGGCTATTACTCCTAAAATGCATCAACCCAACAGAAACATGCCTTTCCAAACTCAACTGCCTTTAAAACGCCAAACTAAACATCACTAGGTAGGGTAGGCTATATGAATCAAGTGATGTCATTTGTTCCAACTCAGCCATGGAAGATGAATGCACATAATATTTTTTGTTGCTATCTTTGGAGTTTCCCGATGGAGTGCAAATACACTGAGACAGATACAACACTGCACACAAATGGAAGCACATTAGTCGCGGGCCCACACTACTTATAATGAGGTCACAGTTTGGTAGGGGCTTACGTTGATCCAAGAAAGAATGCGAGCGAAAGATGAAATCCAAAGAGGAATACTGATACAATTGCTGTCAGCAGCATTGCAACAGAAGTAGCATACACCTACACAGCAGAGCAAGGATGAATTTCCTGATAGCTTTCAACATTTTTGTTAACTATTTATACACATTATGTTCTCAATCGTGTTAGAGAGATTATCGAATGTAATCAAATTCAGCATTTGTGCTCGTGATGATCCTTCAAATTTTGATCAACGTAAATTGCTATACCAAACATAAAGTAAATACAACTACAACTAAAAGCTCAGTATAATCCCAACATTCCCTCAAGGTCTTTTTTTTTGGGAGGGAGGGGGGGGGTCAAAATGTTATCTTTAAAACATAGAGTTAATAAAAATAAATAAATTCTGTAGGTTAATGAAGTGTATCAATTATTCATAGAATAAGTAAATGGGCTTGATTTTAGTAATCCAAATACTAATAAACTAATGATGAGCTCATACCATTATGTACCACTATTCCATATAAAACCATTTTTGTGATTACTTTGAAATTTAAAATTTTAAATGTACCGTTTTTTAACTTTATACATACAATGAAG